TGAGCTGAGTAAAAGGGAAAAAAACAGACTGGAAGTTTCCAAAGTGAAAAATGCAAAAAAGTTATTTTAGTCAAACTTTACTTAGTATTCAAAATCAAACGACCATACACGTAAACAGAGTTTGCAAATAGTTACAGTCACCGCTAATTACGTTTCCGTTCTTCTACACCGAGTCTGAATAAATAAATGAGCCAATTAAGAAGACAAGGTAACTAAACATTGAGATGGTCTTGGCAAAAACTGTGCAGATGTTTAATAGTCTTTTTATACCATTTGTTATCGTCGTTATTTCAACTATACATTTCAATGTAGCAAAGATATTAAAGCATATTTTTAGCAAAAAATCGAAAAACCAGTATTTTCATAGAGTTTCACCAATTATCACAGGTTACCAGATCCAATTATCACAGGTTACCAGATCCTCTTAACAACCATTATTTTGCCCTTGTAGCCCTGGTTGACTTTGTTCCTCATTTTCACTGGGAGATTCTATGAGCACTTTACATGTTGTAAATAAACAAATTACATGTTGTAAATAAACAAATAAAATTTTAAAAAGAAGTTAGTTAAATACGATAGGTTTAAAAGCTCTAGTATGTGATGTAAAAATTTAACTCTTTGCTTTCGAGGCCTTTTTCGCTCGGGCGAAGGAGCAACTCGAAATGGTTTTCTTCATAGTTGGCGAATTTCTTGCAGCTAATTTAAAATGATTTCACTTACAGTTTAAAGAAATCTAATGGTTCCTTCATGTCTTACGGTAGTTGCGGTTCTGCGGCTCTTTAGCCAAATACAAACGGCGTTCTTTGAGGTATTTCTTCGGATTCTGTGCACGTTTTCGATTGTAAATTTTCTGTTTCTTCTGCGGAATCACTTCGGCTTTCACATTCACTATCTATTACCCTGAGTATTCGTCTTCTTACACTTTTTACTTCATCGCTATCTTCATCACCGGTTTTCTCCTCTGTAGTCAATGCGTAGACATCTTTGATGCAAGTAGTCTATGTATAGACGCAATATCGTTCTTCATCAACGAAAAGTCGAATTCATCTTCACTTCAACTGATTCCTTCATCGTATTCCATATTTATTAGGCTCCGTCATTTTGAAAATAATATTCCTATTGCCACGTCTGTCGAGTTCGACGTAACGTCGAAGACGCACATGCAACACTAAATCTAAAACATTTATTTAAGATTAAAGTTGTTTTATACGCATGTACTTGTTGAATACACTCATGAAGTGATATTTCCCAAACCAAACCCAAATAAACATCGTTACCGTTCGATTTATCGCGTCAAAACCAGCTGTGACAAGACCTAGCTGTCAAACCTAGCTATTGAGAGTCAACTCTCGAACTACTGCGTCAAACCAAGTAGTGATCGAGAGTCATCTCTCGAGTTACCGCATCAACTCAAGTGTTGACCGAGAGTCAGTTCTTGAGAGCAAAGGGTTAATAGAGTATTGTATTACCTAATGAAAGAGTGATTGTAAGGTTATTTTAATTTTATTAACAGTTTTTAATTCTGAGTTAAACTTTTTTCCTATCAAATCTTTAACTTTAACTTCAACTTACGACTTCTGGCCAGAACGTAGTTTTAGAATCACGTCTGAATACTTAATGAGGAAGAGCGGTATTTAAACGCGAAGTTCTAAGTGCTGAATTAGAATCAGAGTTTCTGATTTGCGCGCGTCTTCCTTTTTGCCTACTCTCTCTCAAAGCTGTTATTACGCTCGGCCGTACTCAGGCCCTTGGTAAGCTTCGTAGTCAAATAGAGTTAAGGGGCTAACTCGATTTAGAATCTTAATAGCTTCGGCTATTATCTCTTTAGTCAATCTTAAGTTTTAGTTTAATTCTTAGTCCTCTTAAGTTCAAGCCCAAGTGTCGAGTTTTGTTTGTACACTCCCAAGGACGGAGATTTGTTAAATCTTATTGGAATAATAAAGGGTTAGTTACCCTTCCATCTTGTTGTTTCTTGTCACACGAACTTAAGCGATTATTCGTTAACGAGTTCTTAAGGTTACTCACTTTTGACTGCAAATACACTGCATCACTCACATGATTATTGTTAAAGTGATTAATTTTGTACAATTACTTATTTTAGTCCATATTTTCATAAACTTACATTCATTAACACGATATTTATACATTATCAAAGAAAGTAAGAAAGCGAAATATCTTAAATTATAAGCCAATATATGCCAAGTAGCCAAAATTCTGATAACCGGATAAAGCCTGTCGTAACGCTCAGAAGGTTAAATAGAAATTATCATTGATTGAATTTATAATGTTTTTTATTGATTGTTATAATTCAAACAAAAACCGCTAACATATGGCCTCCAAGTAAAAACACATGAGATTAGAAAAGAATTGAGAAATTAAATTATATTTCCTTGGCATATAAAATTTAAAATTTAAATGAAAGCTTTAGCTGCATTTTGAGCATCTGATTAAAATTCTCCATTTATGCACTGCTCTTATTAATGTAACTAAAACCCAAAGAGATATTGGTTTCCCTATATAAATGCTTCAAAATCAGATGTAGGATTATTTATATAACAGCATTGTGATAATATTTTAGAAACCATATGTATTTCTATAGAATTGCACACAATGTAATTAATTAAATAAAATTATGACAAATAAACACAAATGGGAAATATGATTTCTTTTATAACGGTGTTAAGTTTCTGAGGACTTCTAAATATAGAAAAATGTGTGAAAATCTATAAAAGTACCATTTCTCTTCGACTCTAAAATACACCTGCCCCTATAAGGTGTTTCTTCCGCCATTTTGGCATGCCTTCGTGGCATGGTAGTCTACACCCTGGGCGCATATTCCAGATGTCCGTAGTTCGATTCCCGGCGAAGGCGTTGCATATTTTTCATCTTTCTTGTTTCCAAAATACTTAATGTCTCTACATCCCTTCCATCATATAAGCGTTGTTACAAAGGAGATATGTCTTTGAACCCTGTGTGTTTCCATATTAATAATATACTGAATTTTTCAGTTTTTTAATTAAATAAGAATAACATTATTATTAGCTAGATGTAATTTTTATGAGGTATTTCTCCCACTTCTCTAACGTGCCTTCGTGGTGTAACGGTAGCACGCTGGGCCGGTAATTCAGAGGTCCGTGGTTCGATTCCCGGCGAAAGCGGTTGCATATTTTTCATCCTCTCTGCTTCCAATTAATCTAATGACCCTACAATTTTTACATTTATTTTATTTTTTAGAGTTAGTTTTTTGGTATAATAATGCTGAAATTAATTAACGTGTCTTACATGGATGGAATCTTAGACTCAAAGAATTGAGTTAAGAGTATTTTCTTCAATCATATTTAATACATAATTTATGTTATGATATTTATGAATTAAAAATTATACAATGTTAAAAAAACACTTTAAGAGAACATGTAAAACATTCACTAAATCCCTATTATCCATGCTGATTGATTCAGTGTTCATGCAAAGCCCGAAAAATTAAAAAATGGATCTGCATGCAATGAAAATGAAATCTTTTGATGTTTTGAATGAAAGATATAGAATGTACTATTTAAAGTGGGACTAATTAAAACGGTACTAGAGTTAGATTTTTTCCTGGAAAATATTCGGTTTTTTTTTTTTTTTTTTTTTTTTTTTTTTTGCGAGCCATATAAAATTTTTTTCACTCAGTTTAACTAATGCTACTCAGAAAATTCTAACACAAGTTTCTTGGCCTGTGAAGCCATCAACACCTTATCTTACACACTCAAAAGTCTGTTGTGACTCATCAATGAATATTCACTTTAATCCCTATTTTCATCATCCCATTCTCTTAATTAATTCTCTTGAGTCACTGTTTCCAGATCTGACAAATCCTATAATTCTTTGTTCTTCCCCAGATCTTTGTTACAAAATAAACATTCAACGTTCTAAACGGCGCAGGTGCACGGCTTGCGCTAATAATGTGTTCCGTGCACATTTGATTGAAGCGATATGCTGTGTATACAACTCCGATCTAATAAAAAATAAATCGGATGAGGCCAATCAAATTTGAAGATTTGCCTGCATTATATCTTGTCCTCATCTCCTTCTGCGTAATTCCAGTACAATGCTCCAGTTTCTTGTTCCGTTGTGTAAAATGGTTTTCTTACTTAAGAATTTACTAGTCCAAAGGGGCGTTAGACAGAATGGGCTATATAACTTTTCAAATTGTTGCCACCAAATATTATCGCCCTGTACTATTTTTAAAGAAATTAAATAATGAAGAATCTGCATGTATGTATGTATTTTTCTCGCATTGTGAAAAAACGACGGAAGCTAGAGCAATCCAGTTTTGAATAACGTAGTCCTCCACGCGAGCATGTGCATTCGGAAGCCTGAATTTTGAGTTTTATGTTACATATTTTGTAAAACTTTAATGAAGTTTTAGTAATATATTCAACGATTTGAAAACCAGGAGAGGCAACACTCTACGAAATAAAACATTTTTATCTCCAGCGAACGAGACTGTATACATCGGAAAATCCAAAGATGTGCTGTTTTTAAATGTTTCTTGGTTTTGCTGTTGAACAGAATTTCATATGGCGTAAGTGCGAAGAACATGATATTTAATAAATAAAGTTCACGCACAACAAAACTTTAATAATAAAAAGACAACAACAACAAAAAAAAAAAAATTTTTTTTTTCAAGCCATTTTACTAGAAAATTGAATATTGATGTGATGAACTGAGAAAAGAATGAGAAAAAAAAAATAGAAAAGTGTTTGTCAACAGTTATAATTTTTCTGTTAACTGTATATGCCATAAGTACGAAGAAAACAAAATGATGCTTAATAATAAAATTAAAAAGACAAAAAAAAATTGGGTTAGCAGGAGTAAGTGCAACAGCAGAACAGTAGACTGCCAGCTCAGAGAGAGCGTAAAAAACCTTACCAAATCCTTTTGAGAAATCGTTGAAATCTGAATCCTTTCAAATTTTATTTATTTTATATTTCTGTAACTTATTTTTTATTTTTTAGGGCTGGAAAAGATTTCGCCAAGCAGCTCTGATGACATGTCGTTATATCGGTATGGGAGTCACTCACATGAGTCCAGCTACTGTTTATTCTTCACCTGACTACTACGTGGATCCTAAATACTGGAACAGATCTTTCAGTCCAAGTTACAACAAGACAAAAAATGTACCCAAGACCCCTCACTGGTCCAGTCCTATCGTGTTCGAAGGCTGGTAAAGTTCCTTGCAGCTGATTTTCGTAAAAAACCAAATGTTCGGCAGTGAAAAACTACTCTAATTCTTAGATGTTTTGTGACCTGCAAATGGTGCCATCTTGTTCTAAGAACTGCCGTATTTTGAATGATGTCTTAATGCAGAATAATTTATCTAGTCTATTAACACAAAAATGAACTGCTTTAGTAAATGAATATCATTTTCATGATTATTTTTGTGTTTTGTTTTATATAGAGAGAGGTTTTAGGGTTAATTTTTGTAAACCATTCTGTGAAGTACCAATTCTTTTCTCATTTTGTCGGTATCTTAAATATCTGTATACGAATTCAACATCTCATTCTTAATCATTATTCCTTTTTTTGTTTGAAAATTATTTTTACTTATTATTATACATATTCTTTGCTATTCTGCATGTGTAATACTAGTCTGATCGTTTTGAAGCGCGTTGGAAATATAAGTGCGTTGCTATGATTACTGATTTCGTTTAATCTTGGTAAAGCACTTCTGCTATGTTCTTGTATGAAAGCTGAGTTCTGATTTTCAGACTGATATGATTTCTAATGTCTGCCTTAAGAATCTGAATCATGTTTTTGAACATAAACATGAATTTGTTAAAAATCAGTGTCTCCTATAGTATTTTATAGAAGCCACTGAAATTTGCATTAAAAATGCGTTCTTAAGAAAGGACCGGATTCCGTAAGAGGTAAAAATAACACAGCAGATCCTGCAAATGTGTTACAAAGTTTGAATTAAAATTCATAATCTTGAATAATCGTAGTTTTGAATTACATTTTTTAAATTCATAAAGAATCTCAGCTCATGGAAAACAATTTTAAAAGGGGCTATTTAATGTGCAATGTTTTATTCAAAATTAATAAGTCAAAATTTGGAATTTTAATATAATATGACAATTTTTAATTAATTTTATGTAAAATAAACCTACATAAAAAGAGAATTGATTTCCTTAAAGGAATAAAAAAAAAAAGGCTGTTTTTTTTTTTTTTTTTTTTTTTTTTTTTTTAATATTTCGTGTTTAAAAGAACCTTAAACTCCGAAATCATTCAGAATCTAAAGAAAGAGAAACTAAGATATTTGTATAATTTTTAATGTATGTACAGAGTATTTGTCAGTATATATTTCCATTTTTTTATGTTACGAATGTACAGAGAAAAAGCTCCGGGCAGCATTTTGAACGAAAACAATGTTTCTTTTGAATGTCTGTTTTTATCAATATTTTCTGTAAAACTGCCTGCCTGTGAGATAATTTTGTAAATAGTACTGCTTACTAGTTTTTAATAAAGATTTTTAATCAGTCATGTATTGTTTGTCTTCCTTCTTAGATAAACAGTTATATATTACTCGAAAATGATATAGTGCTGATGATATAGTGAAAATGATTTTGTCACTGACTAGAAACTAGAACAAACCAGTTTTTCTGGCCGTTAATAAATACAATAGATGAATTATTATGTTTAACAAGAGTATTTTGTATTTGCGCAGTTAGCTCGTTGTTTTCGAACATAGTAATCTAATCTTAAGCAGGATTTCCCTTTTTTGCTAAATGTCATGAAATTACCTGACATCACGCGCAAAAGAAAAAAAAAATATTGTGGAAACTTCCATAATTAGCCCAGAAGGGCTTACTAATCTCGAAACGGCTTTTTGGGTCGAATCACTATCAACGGCTGTATCACTTTTCAGATTGCTGCCACCAAATATTATCGCCCTGTATTATATTGAAAGAAATTAAGTAATGAAGAATCTGTATAAATGTATTTATATATTCGCATTGTGAAAAAACAGCGCTAACAATACCTAGAGCCATCAAATTGTGAATAACATTGTTCTCCACCCGAACATGGCACATGGAAGCCCGAATCTTGAATTTCGATTTTTTTTATTACCTATTTCTATTTTTTAAACTTTAACGAATTTCAATTAAGAAACTCGACGATTTCAAAGCGAGAAATGGCAACGCACTGTGCGGTATAAAATATTTTTATCTCCAGCGCGAGAGACTATCTATGGGAAATTCTAAAGATATGCTGTTTTGAAAAAAATGCCCCTTTGGGCGCATTCAGAGCTTTCAGATTTATTTTTTTAAATATTTGTTTTTTATTTTTTTTTATTTTATTTTTTATTACTTTTTTTTATTTTTATTATTATTTATTTATTTATTTATTTATTTATTTTTTTACATTTTGCTCTTCACGATAGAGTTTTTTTCGATGATACGAGTTTTTAATTTTTTCTCTTAAACATGTTTATCCAAGAAGCTACAATATCTCTGGCACTGTTTGCAGTTTTACACATTAAAATTTTTCGAACACAAATAGAGAAGTACATTTTATTTTTCATCTTTAAAAATAAAGTGCATCTTGGTATAACAAATAGAAATAAGCATACTGAAAAGTGAATTAGAGTTGCTGGAAAAAGAAAAACTGAAATTTGTACAGAATTGCTGAAATAATGCGTGTACAATACTCTCTGTCTTACAATCCAAACCCTCGACATAAGTACTCTCTAAACTGATTTGCATTCTGGTGAGGAAACGGGAAAAAAAGTAATAGTAAAAGTCTAAATCATAACTTGTTAAATAAATAATAATAAGCAATTAAAACGGAAATAAAAGCAAGTAAACTTTACTGTGCTTTCAGTAAATTTTCAGGAATTAATTATCTAATATTCAGTAAGAAAAACGAAACTCATTAGAATCAACATAGATACGACCACAGGAATTTTAGCCAATTCTCCCCCTCTTAATTTCGATTGCTCCTCTATTTAAAAATTATTTTTATTTACGTATTCTGATGGAGTAAACGAAAAGGTAAGATTATAGGACAGATTTTAATATAAGAAAACGTGTTAACTGAAATAAAATTTATTAATTGAAGTGCTAATTAGCAACTGAGCTAATACTTTGCAGGCAGGTGCGATTTTCAACGCTTTTGAAAGTTAAGCGGAAAAATCCAATTATTGCCCATGTTAATCAATTCGATAATGTACTAGTGTTACTGATTTCAAGAAATTTAAAAGAGGAAGATTGACTGAATTTATATCAATTTTTTGTCAGTTTAATAAAACTAATACCCTTTTACAGACTTTTTAGCATCTTAAAATTTACCAGCATATTGGTTGCGGTATTTATTTCACCTTGCCGGGAGGGATTCGGAAGGAAAGATAACAAATCATCACTTATGAAGAATACTTGTGGAATACGAAAACATTTCTACACCCGCTTCGCCTAAAAACTTTTCCACATTTACGTTTTCGTCAGTTTCAGTTCAGTCCAAGTTATCTGCAATGTCGGAATCATTTTTACGTGCTTTTGAATTACTGCTAAGAAAATAAAACGTAACGTATTATTACTTTAACATTCTCGATTTTAAAAGATAAAGATAGAACGATAATTCGTTCGGCAATCTAAGAAGTACAAACTCATTTTATTTGGTTTAGTTTATTTTGGAAAAGCGTACCAGGGTTATCTGCGTAAGGGGAGGAATGCCTTCATGGAGGACTTTCTAAGGGAAACTGGCTCTTATACACGTTGCACATGGGCAAGAACATGAAAACCAGCCAACCAGTACTCCTGGATTCGAACTCAGGTCGGAGCTACTAGAGTTCAGCGATTTTACCGTTTGGCCGATGGTGGGAAAAGTACTTAACCAAACCATACTAAATCTTTCATATGGACTATAAACAAAATGGTAATTGAATAAAATGCGCGATGCGTAAGTGAATATTATTGCTGATACTCTTGCTGTAAGAGAATATTATTATAGATGTAAACTTTCATAGATATGGTATTCTCAAGGCTTAATTTCTAAGATTAGAAGTGTCGAAGCCTTATGGAAGACCGTCAGCAAAGAAGAACAAGAGTAAATAAATAAATAAAATGACTATTAAACCCATTAATAATTTTAAAATTAAATAGTTAATTATTATCAAATTAATTAACGGCTATTTAATTAATGTTCATAAATTGTTATTCAATCAATAATTAATATTTCATTAATTGATTATAATTTAATTGACAATTATTAGATAATTAATTATTATTCATTGAAGTAATTAAATAAAATGTACAGAGATAAATTGAATTTTAATAAGCGATTTTTAATATAATTTTATTGTTAAAATAAAATTTTCGAGATAAAATTTCTACTAAAATTGTTATTCAATTACATAAACGAAGTGCCGCAGCCTTCTTATTCAGGGCTCCGGTATTTTCCGGCTAGAATTATAATTTATTACAAAAACTAAGAAGCACCGGAGATCCGGTGGGCTCCGGCCCAGTTTTTAAGCTCTGGTCGTAGGGGGGGGTAGTTCTTTTATCATCACAAAAATTCAATATACTTGATGAAAAGTATACTCAATTTAGAAAGAAGTATAATTGATGAAAATTCCAGGGCGAAACAGAATGAGGGTATGAGTGGGTGGAAACAAAAAATGAGGGAAATCTTGGTGAGAGAGAGCGTTTTCTTTGACCGCGGCTCTCTGCTGATATAATTATAGCCATCAAGCAGATGTGTGTCAAGGGTAAAATCAGTCCTAAATCTGACTCCTAAGGATGAATGTAAAGTTGCTGGTTACGCTTTCCCCTCCATTGGTGGATACTGTGGGAAGACGATTTATAGGACGTGCTTGAGCAGTTAATCATTTCACTCTTATTGTACTCACTGTCACTTAACGCACATTTAAGGACACAAATTTTCCTTCCTGCGAGGATAACTAACTGTAATCATCGATAACAATACACTAAATACGATGGCATGGCGAGAAATTTACGCGTTCCTAAACAAACTCTCCCAAATTTATTACCCTTCTTAAAGGGAAAGGTTTCCGGATGTGAGTGAGGGGACTTTATTTGAATGTTCTCCTGAGTTCGTACTTCCAGGGAAATAGAGTATTGCAAGATCTGCTTATTGTTAAACCTAAACGTTAGTAATTCTAATTCCCCCCCCTTTAAATTGCGGTTCAGTTTTATAAAAAGAAGTACAAGAGCTCATCTTATTTAGGGCTCCGGTGCGCTCCGGCTAAAATTGTAATTTATCTTAAAAATTGAGAAATACCGGAGCTGGGCTCCGGCGCAATTTAAGCACTAGGTATTCTTTTCTACACAAACATTTTAATCTGTTAATCGAATTCCCGTCAGAAACTCTAAGAAAAACGCTGGAAAGTCACAAAGCTGTTACACATACTTAATGAAATCAAGCTATAGTAATCTGAGACTTAGTATAGTTAATCTGGGACTTACTTAACTAACGTCAACAGTCAAACTAGAGGACAGTTTCGCAGCAGCTTCTAATCGCATAACGTCATTAATGTACCCCAGCGTGAACGTTTTGTTTAAGAATCTAACAATATAGATTAGAATTGTCCACTAAAATTATTATATTGTCATTTAAGTCAATTAATGCTTATTAATCGGAGGGAAGAAAATCAATCACTATTTCGATTTTAATTTTTAAAATTTTGTCTATGTTTTATTTTCAAAGGAAATTATTAGAATAAAAAAATTTACAATTAAAGAAAAAGTTAAAAAGTTTCATAGAATAGGCTTTTGCTTAAAATGGATACTATAATTGATGCATTAAAAAGAGAAAAATTTATAATATAGTTTAATTGGAAATACATCGCGAATAATAAAGCTATATTTTAAATTTATTACGAATTTAAATAACAACTGCAACCTCAACAGAAAGCTGTAACAGATTTAGTTCTCTTAGTAACAGAGAGTCTGACAGCTATATTAAAAAAAAGGGGGGATTAGAATCATTGATTTGGCGTTTTTCCTTGCATATTTTGCTTCTTTTTTAATTAATTTTACTGTGCGAAAATCCAGAGGAGAAAACTGATAGAATAATTTTTAATTACTGAAAAATGCGGTTAGATTAACAGCATAATAAATGAAAAGAAGTCGTAGCTAAATTAGTGGTAACTATCACATTATTATTTCTCTAACGATATTGAGCCCATATCCTACGGTAATTAAGCCGCACATGTTGCGTTCCGACTCAGCTATTATAAAGCCCCGGGGTCACCTCACATGAACGAGTTTTGACCGCAGTTTGCAAGACAGATATCAAAGGAACGAAGGAGAAGGGAGGCGAACAAAAGACTCGGAGTTCGGATGATTGAGCACATCAGCAGCAGATAAGGCTATAATGAGGTCGAACGTAAATAATATAAATAAGGTGAAATCACATGTTTGGAAATTTTTTTTAAATGTGAAAACACCTGCCACGTCTGGACAGCTTAACGAAGAATCTGAACTAAATGCGTTTTCAGATAATAAATGCAAAAGGAAGCAAAA